GATAAGAGTTGGGGTTATATAGTTTCGTTTGCGTGTATATATGGTGACTTTTAATATCCTCTTTAAGTTTGTCTATAGACATTCGAAACGTTAGGTAAACCATATCATAAAAAGATTCCGATATTTATTTCGTCGTGCATGAAACATTGAACAGACGCAATTAAAAAAAAATAATAATAGAAAAATCAATTAAATAAAACAGATATATATACAATATTTGAACAATTGACGAGGGGCCGCGAAAGCTACCAGAGTCATCGTGTCAGCTGAGTTGGGAAGAAGATGACGTTACCAGGGCCGTCACTTTTGCCTGACTAAAATGTCTCTAGATAGACCTAGAGAAACATCTAGATTGAAAAATAAAACATCTAGTGAAGTCATTGAATTTGACGAAAATCAACGAAACAAGAGCATACAAGTTTTTGATGTGATGATTATTCTCATCACTTAGCAACAATACAATACTAAGCAGAGACTCATCGGACCAACGTCGTCCTTTCTATTTAATACGTCACATGTTTAATTCGTTATTCGAATAATTTAATTATATATATATGTTACCTGTAGACGAATTCAATATAAATGAGTTTTATCAATCTTACATCATTATTTAACCTACTTCTATGCACGGAAAAAAATGACGGTGAAGTACGTTTCGTGAAATATTTTGTCGCGATTTTGAAGCAATACTTTGGTGAAAAATGTTTTTGGTATTTCGGACAACTTCACAACAGTTATGGGGGGAGATGTTAGATCTTCTCTATTCCTCACTCCTCAGACGTGCACTGCCCGTTCTTGACCTTTGATCAGAAAATCCAGAGACGGAACTGAACTTGTCGGGAGGCAGCACCTGATAATATCGAAATTCCAATCCCTTCTCCTATTTCATTACCGAGGTCCAGTTCCTACCCCATTCCCTCTCTATATGCACCGATTTAAAAAACTACCTCAATAGCGCACAATCGCCCTTGAGCAAAGCCTTGTATCTAGCCGTAACAAGACATCAATTGATGGGCAGAAAGCCAAACCGACAGGAACGACTTGTCAGTGCACAAAACTTAGTGTTGGAATATCCTAATCTGAAAATCGACGACAGTATCCACCAAGGTCGATTCCTCGAATCAGTGTATCATTTATTAAGGAAGTGGGGTAACAGCCAAGACGCAACAACAACAAAATTTCAAGCATTCATCAGAGAACAGAGGAATAGAAAAGTTGACACCGAGAACAAATATAATCATGTCCATATCTGCCTTTGATGGAAGAAGAATATCGGAGCGCACAAAAAGTCTTTTTCCAGAATACCAAAACTATTATGTGGTAAGTGCATATTTTTGGGGGCTCCCGAAGTATGCGAACCAAGATGGCGGACATCGGAATGTAATATGTGTACTAGGTTAGGGTTAGACCATAATTTTAGGTATAAATACTACGGGAGGCTCTTGACTAGTCTTCGAACTGATAATAGGACTAAAATAAGGAAAATTGGAAACAAATTATCGCCTAACCCTAACCTGTTACCCATGTTACGTTCCGATGTCCGCCATCTTGGTTCGCATACTTCGGGAGCACCTATTTTTGTCCACTTATCCAATATCCACAATGAATGAAAATGATTTGCCACAAGTTCGGGAGCTCTCAAAGTCTATTTTTCAATAATTCTGTTTAAATACGATGTCAGTTTTTAAGAAGATTTTTGTACGTCTGATTAGGGTTTTGTTTTTTATCAATTTTAAAAAAACATCGTGTTTTAAAACAAGGGCTTGTTTTAAATCAATTTTTTTTTTGTATTTTTTATTGAAATACCCCTTGCATCGCCGCGAAATTACGCCAAAACCTTGCATTCTGGCCGCTGCACATGCAGCCGAAATTATAATATGTAAGTAAAAATTTTTATTTTGACTTTTACCACTATTGCGTACATTTATAGCCACACTATATCTTCACCAAAGTCATAAGATTTTACCCGGAATGTTTAGCCGAGCTATCAGAGAGTCGTTTTGAGTAAGAAAAATCATGAAAATTAGCTCACGAGCCTACTACAAAAGCAATTCGATCAAGTGCAGCCCCTCGGCAAAACGAGTGGGTTGCGATAATGAAGAATATATTGGCGGTAATCTACTTATATGAACGATGATACACCCTAACCTAGCCTATGTTAATTGTAATTCCGATCCTCCGATGCAAAGACAAACAACTAATCTGTTATGACGCCATAAAATGGATTTCGAGGTCATGTATTGACGTTTTTCTCATAAAATGAAGTCATCGTTACGGTTAATACTGTTCGGTTAATTTATGCTTAGCATACTTGGTTTTTTAAGGTTGAAGTTAGTTTTTCGAGGTTATACAAACTCATTTATTCAATCGCATTTCAATTTTCGCGAGGTGGTTTCATCGCAGCACGTAATGGCTTATCGCTTGCGTCTTACTGCGCCAACCACTGAACTACAGCTTGAGTAGGTGTGAATGAGCCTTTATCGATATTTGTGGCGTTTTGAAAGATTTATTGCAAATAAGAAGCGCTTGGCAAGTTTTTACATTCATTTTTTTCAACCTATTTAATACAAAAAAATCAAATAGTACAGCCATTTTGAACAAAACAGGCAAAAAAAACTTGATTTAAAACAATTGTTTTAAAACAATTCTTTTTGAACAAATGCCTACGTCTGATATAGTTTTGAAGTTTTTCGCATTTTTGTTTATTAGTTGTGTCATACGTCTATAAGTATTTGAACATTAATAACGGTTTCTATATTAGAGCTTATGGAAGATAGGCCCTATTTAATAAGGAGAAAGGCCATAAACATTGACGAATACGTGAGCACTACCAAAAAAAGGATTTGGAGTTTTCGAGGCAGCGGCGAAAGCTAGAAATGGTCATCATAATGCATAATGATCAACTTGAAATTAGGTTTTTCCTCGTTTTTTTTAAAACAGTTTTTAAAAGTTTCGCCCTTCTGGACTCGATCTCATGGAACATTTATACAATGACCCCGCTCTAAAAGCAGTCGTCAAATTTGACGAAGATGGCATCAAGGCAACCCTACGTCAGCCTTACCTCGAGTTTCCCGAAACTCGAGAAGATCCCGGCATGCCTGCTGTGGCAGTGGACAATAAAACATTTGTACAAGGCGACAGCCAAGATGTTATCAAAGGGTTGCTCACACTGATGGCAACATATTTTGTGTTGAATTTGGAATATTTTCCATACCCGGTCGAGCAGGTAAATTATACAAGTTGTTGGCATTTTATCTACTTGGACTGGGCTCTGAACCAAACAACCTAAAATATGTTGCGATCTTTAAAAAAACATAGCTCTTGCTATGTGATATCATATCTCTTACTAACTGGCGTACACTGCTTGCAAAAAACTATCAAAAACGTTCATCAAAAACTATCAAAACCATCCTGCTGATATTTTGTTTCGTTGTGATGTTTATAACTGGATGTCGGTGGCAATATTCGGTTCGTCTAGTTCACACAGAAATAAAAAAAAAATCCTTAACTATTATTGGATGTGTTTTCAGATAGAAGCGATGGGCAAGAACGAAATTTTGTAACTGAGCCGAGGGCTAATCTTACAAATTCATGTTTTTAGACTTACAGTTTCCCACGAGACATAATTCGTCAATATTTTCACGAAAAACTAAAATGAAAAAAAGGCATTTTGTGATGCTGATGTTAAGTAAGTTAGTTACTATAACGTCGGGGTGGAAGACACATCTGGTATTACGCAAGTACATCATGTTTGCTAACACATTCTAAATTCTGGAGTATAAAGAAAATGAAAACCCATAACTTGACAAGTTTTTTCGCTAATTATCCCATGAGAGAGAAATGCATTTAAAAAGAAATATTCATAAGGCGAACAACGTCCGCAGGCAGTTTATTTCGCGTATGCGGTCCAGTGTCCCGAAGGTGACAGAACAATACACAAAACTAGAATTCGGTTGGAAACCGAAAACTTATCGATCGAAGGTTAGGGGATCCCCCAAAACAGTGGTCTTACTCCATATGACACCGTGTGTCCCATCACTAATTAATCAATAACTCGCTAATTATACGACATAATCCATCCAAAATCAATAGGCTTCTGATCCAAGCTATGATGAATGCACATGCTAAATCTGCATCAGATCCAATTTCACTTTCGTGAGATATCGCGTGCATCTAACACACAGACAAATACCTATCAACATACTTGCCGATCAAGATCGATAAGTAATTACTGTAGTAAGGACTTAATTTCAGGGTATAATAAGTGACACGAGACAAAAACCGTATACCGGTACATGAAAAAATCGACTCCATGTGGGATTCCGTTATTATGACAAAAAAATTGTGATATTATTAACATAGAAAACGTCAGAATTCTTAAGCTCAAAGAAAATCATGGTAACTTACCTCAATATCTTCACGGTTGAGAATATTATCCCATTATTGGCGTGAAAACATTGCAAGCGAATCCCCTCGTCAACTCATCGCAAAAGCTATATTGCTGATTTCTTTTTGTCGATGACGGATTTATAGCACTAACTGAGATTAGAAGCAAAAAAGGGAGCGATTTTTGGAATTGGCGACGAAATGCAGGTGTGCTAGACAACGACGGAATCTCGTTTCAATCATATTTGTTCTAAAAACAGGCACATCCATCGCAATAACATTTGCATAATAACTTTGTTTGAAGCTAACTTTCTTTTTACAAGTGTGACGCATTTTTTTCATTTGCTTATTGCGGTATAATATTAGTGGTTGGTGCGCCGCAAGCATAAAAAAGTTTGAGAATCACTGATAAACGATCACAATCCGTCCCGATATTATCAATCGCACATATGATTTTTCAACGAAGATATTTTTTCATAGTCTGGTCGTGTTCGGGACTGACTAAAACATCTTATGCGAACAGAAGTTCAACTACCCGTATTAGCTCCTAACCTATTTACTTCTATTTTGCATGGTTGATTCTCACTAGTAGCAACTCGAGCTTGACAACTAAATGAAGTAACTATGTTAAGTGTTGTATTTCAAATCAGAGAAATAAGTGTCAGACACCATATTATGCTAAATAGAGGCAGGCACCAAATTACAATAACAGTGAAAAGAAATAATGCTATGTAGCTCTATAGAAATGTGTGTTCATAAATGAATAGAACAGAAGTATGTGTATATCACAATGTATGGCAGAGATCAATTTTTTCTTCACCAAACAACATAAATATTCTTTTAATAAAAATCCTTCATTCCTAAATATTTTTTCGGCCTAATTTTGCCTCTGCATCTTGATTTTGAATGATAAATAATGTGGGAAAGGATATTTTAATACCCATCGAACGAAAAATACAAATTATGAGAAGCAATATACATATAGTCATGATAATGATAAGAGGCCAAAATCATACATAAACATCACTGATTAACAAGGGCAAATGGCAGTAACATCGAAGAAATATCATTTAAAAAAAGTACTATTTGAACATACAGTTGCAGCATATTATATTACATTTGCACTTATACAAAATAGACTATGCAATGAATTGTTATCTAAAATTTGTTGTGTATATATAGCCAATTCACAAGAAGCTATTTCAAATACCGTGGATGTTTTTAGACGAGAAATTTATTTAGAACAAGATAGGTTTCTGTACTTGATAGGCAATACAGCGCCATTTTTTTATCTCGAGAAATCTCAAGCAGAAATGCTGCTTGGTAGTCAACCGAGAATAATTTCGAAAATTCGTGATGAATTGAAAATTATTTCAGAAAATTGAATAACGAATTTGGGAAATATAAATTAAATCCTCCTGGAATGAAAGAGAATGATTGCTTACCACAAAAGTTATGGTTTTGAATGCAAATGATGCAAAATTGCTTTAATATTTTAAAACTAAAACATAGATTCGGTATATTATAAATATACCTAACCTAAAATAACGAACATGTTTGATCTAGCACAGACATGATCATAAATAAATATTCTATGGAATGTTGCTTGGTAATTTAATAAATATCATGATGGAGCTGTATAGCAGAACTGTGGAGTCGTTCCTATTACAATCCAGTTTCAAACTCTATTGCATCGTAGGTTTCTGGTGATGGTGTAAATCTTGACAGATAAGACCTATCACTATCTTTTATAGTAGTGGGAAGTGAAAGCTTTGGTTGATTTTGAGATTTGTAAGCTTCCTCTGCCATCTTCTTCAATACTGCTGCACCATTGGCTGTTGTCTCAACCATCTTTGAAAACATTGTTTCATAGTTTCGTAGCAAAGTGTGAGGATGATCAAATTCTATAACTTTTCCTGCATCCAACACCATCACTCTGTCGGAATCTATGATTGTATGAATTCTGTGAGCAATAGTTAAAACTGTGCAATATTTAAACTTTTCCCTTATTGTGACTTGGATAAGACGATCCGTTCTCAAGTCGACATTTGCAGTCGCTTCATCAATAACTAAGATTTTGCTTTTTTTGAGAATGGCTCGAGCGAGACAAACAAGTTGTCGTTGTCCAACGCTGAAATTAGAACCAGATTCTGCAAGTTCACTATCCAGTTTCAGAGGAAGAGATTCTACTACTTCTCTCAGCTGGACTTGTTCAAGTGAATCCCATAAATCTTCATCACTGTATTGTGTGAATGGATCAAGATTTCTTCGCATAGTCCCAGTGAATAGAATTGGATCCTGTGGTATAATTGACAATGCTCTTCTCAAATCATTCAATCCTAAAGGTGTAATTGCAATTCCATCTATATATATCTCACCAGATGTTAATTCAGACAGGCGAAATAAAGCAGAAATAAGAGAACTTTTTCCAGCACCTGTTCGACCAACAATGCCAACTTTTTCTTGTGATTTGACATTGAAAAGAACCTTCTTTAACACATCTGGACCACCAGAATAATACGCAAACGAAACTCGATCAAAGGTAATTATTCCGAGGTTTGGCCATGAAGCAGGTGGTTTCTTGTCCGGTTTTTCATCTGCAGCTTCTGAAGGAATACCGGTACTGTAGTATTGTTGAACTCTTTCAACCGAAGTCATCAAATTTTCTACTTCTGTACTCTGCCTTACACCCCATTGAAACATTCCTAATAGAGTGATACAATAGGTCAAGGACAAACCAACTTGACCAGGATCAACATCAATAAATGATATCGTGATGAGACACATAAAGGTGACAGTTGTTATGAAAATTGCACTTAAAAGATCCAATCGAACTCCGAGCCATCGACCCCCACATAAGAATAAGTACCAAGCACTGCTGTGCAAATTTTGTCTTTCATGAAATTTCTTTTCGAATGTATCCTGGACTCTAAATGCTCGGACTGTAGTAAGACCTTGCAATGTAGAAGACAGGAGACTGAAAACTGGACTTCGGGTAGATCCCTCCAATCTTTTAATATCCCGTGAAGTTTTTAAATAATACTGCCTTAACCAGAAGAAAACAACAACCAATGGCAGTGTTATAACAGCCACCATAAAATTAACAATAATAGCCAGGATCAGGATGCTAGCAATAAGGCCAAATATGTACAAAAAATCAAAAAAAGTTAATGGCAAAAGATCATCAATTTGACCGATATCTTTGGAAAATCTGTTCAGCACTCGTCCAGAAGGATTTGTATCGAAAAATCTGATTGGTGATCTCAAGATAGCATAAAACATTTTTTTATGCATATGTATGCCTGATGACACACAAAGATAAAAATGCATTATTGCACGAACCCATATGCAAATATATGTTATTGCAGTAAGACAAGCATATATCATCATATAAAAGTTTGTGTCAAATACATCAGAACTTTCAGAAGTTGATGGTAAAGTATTATCCTCTATTATTGTAGTAGACCAGTTCAGAGTACTTGATACATTGGATTGTAAGTCACTCCCAAGCTGTTGGTGTTCTTCATACTTTGTTGCCCACATTGATATCCACCAGTCACATAAAATAAATGAAATATGGCTCAATAAAATAACTATAATGAAGAAGAAACAAAAAATCTTGCTTGCTCCGACTCGAAAATATTCAAGATAAACACTTCGACCAACACTTCCTTGCACCCGCATTTCTTCAGATGCTTCTCCGTTCTTATCATCTTCTAGGTTTGTTGTGTCCGAATCTATAGGATCCTCACCTAATAAACCCATCATTTCTTGTGACAATACAGACTTCAATGAAATAGTTGAAGCTGTCATTTTTGGATCTAGTCTCTGTTTAATCAATACTGAGTTTTCATCTTCAATTTCTGAGAGTTGAGTCTCTACTAGGCCAGGTTGGACTTCATCTTTCTCTTCAAGCAGAGCAGCAAAATCAGTTCCATCTGCTTGAAGTTCATTATAAGTACCTTGACCCACGATCTTTCCTTCTTTCAAGATGATAATGATATCAGCATCTTGTAGTAACTGAAGCTGATGTGTTACAAGAATACAAACTTTATCTTTCATAATCCCAGATATACAATGTTGAAACAAATGATTTCCAACTGCTGCATCTACAGCACTCAACGGATCATCAAGCAGATAAATATTTGCATTTTTACGATATGCAGCGCGAGCTAAGTTGACTCGTGCCTTTTGGCCTCCACTCAATGTAACACCACGCTCGCCCACTATTGTTGAATCTCCATTTGGTAATAATTCAAAGTCTCGCTCCAGACCACATGCATGCACCACTCTATCGTACCAATCTGCATCATATTCTTCTCCAAATAGAATGTTTTCTTGGACTGATCCAGCAAATACCCAGGGCACTTGGTTTGCATATGCTATATCACCTTGAATTTTAATTTCTCCAGAAGATGCAGGCAATTCTCCCAAAATGGCACTCAGAAAAGATGATTTTCCTGAACCAACAGGACCAATGACTGCCAGTAACTGGCCAGATGAAACTCTTATATTAATATTTTTCAATGTCAAAATTGAATTTTTATCCACTTTTCCATTATCATCCCAGCTACCATCAAAATTTATAATTTCTACAAAACTTTTATCGGCAGCCATTTTCTTATCTATGGAATTATTTCCACATTTACTATTACCGGATTCACCGACTTGATTTATATTTTTTGTTTCATCCAATAGTAAAAATTTTTCAATTCTTCCGACTGATATCCTGGATTCTGCAATTTTTTCAATTGCCAATGGAAAAAATAATCCCATAGACACTCGAATAACATTATAAATCCCAATCACAGTAAATACTTGAGAAGTAGTGAGTTCACCGCCATTCCCAATATAAACAAGAAATGTAACACATGCTATTATTTTTGGAGCACATATGAACATTGACAAGTTGAAGGAACGAAGCATTGCAGTCCACATCACCTTTCGTACTTCACTTTTGCGAATAGCCGCCACCGCCTTTGCAAATGGGTTTTCCCATGTATACATTTTAATTATCCGCATTCCAGTAATGATTTCATTCATGAGTCGAATACGCTCATCGGTGATAACTGCAGTTTTCATTCTTAAGCTTCCAAAGACTTTTCCATTTAGACTTTGGCAAATCATTATTAGAAATAAAATGGCAAAGCCTGAAAACATAGCTGGTCCAACTACACCCCATAATATATAGGCACAAATGACCGATTGTAGTGGTCCCACCCAGATGTAGTGAATAAACAAGGGCAGAAAATCAAATCTTAAGACATCCGTTGCACCAAGATTTACGATTTGTCCAGTGGTTGTCTCACTCAGTGCTCTTTGACTCAGCCGTAATGTCTTTTTATACATGAGTGCACATGCAGCAGCTCTGAGATGCCAACCTAACCGCTGAACATAGTAAAAATAAATATGATGAAAGATTGCTAAAAAGAATGAAATAACACTAATGAAAGTTGCTGTCATGTATGCGTCCGATACTGGCATAGAATCCATGTTTTCAAAATATGAGATGAGTCTTGCAACCATAAGTGGGAGGATTGTTCTGAGAGATTCTTCAACCAGAATGAGTAATCCAATTTTAGAAAAAAAGAAAGCATATGTTTTAACAATAGCACGACTAAGGCTTGGTTTTCTGCCATTCTTTGCTTTAGAGACTTCAAGTGTCCAATTTTTTTCTAATTTTTGGGAGACTGTTTCTGAAGTATCTTCTTCAGATAGCTGCAACATATCTTCATCTGAGAGGGATTGCTTCGCTCCTTTTACAAAAAAGGAATTCATCCACCAGAAAGTACAAAATGATAATATATTTGCATTCTCTCTTTTATTTGGCTGCAATTTCTTCATCTTGTTTGTAAAGTATTATCTATTTATATTCAAATGAATTAGCATATTTTCTGTAAAGGTTAATAAAAGTTATTAGAATATTAAATTACCAATTAGTTTGTTCAATGCATTCTAGGAATGAAACTTATCATTTGCAAAATGGCACTATTGTTGTTCCAACCACAGCTTCATCCACTATCAAGCCCATGCTTCTGAAAACAAATAACTACAAATCCCATACCCGACATGGAATGTTGAACGGACGAGAGGCCGTGGTTCGCCATTTGGTTAGGCCATATTATGGGCTTTCCTCTCCCCCCGGGATAAATATGTAAATCCTATCCTAACCATACAAACTGATAAAATAGAAAGGATGTTAACTCTCAAACATTTTAATATCACAAGTTAATAACTACATAAGACTATAAGTTGAAAGCAGACAAATTCATCATTCGTGGGCTATAGAAGATAGGCAACCAATTGATAATCTTGAATACATATGTAGAAGAAAGGAGTAATGAATATGAAGTTGTACATATCCTTCGATAAGACTGTAAGATGCCTCTTTTTAATCATACTCTTGGTATTCCAGTATTCTTAGTTTTGTCAGTACCGGTACCGTACAATAATCATTCAATACATTTACCGGTACCCGTACGATACCGGTACCGGTATCGTACTAGCCTACAGCAACAGGAATTTAAACGTTAGGCAGTATGAGCCATCATACTGTGATAATCAACTACTTCACTGTTCACTCTGCGTTTCCTGTTCCTTAGGAATGTCAGTTCTACAGTATCGGTAGGTCGAATTCTCCAGCAATTAATCCCGGTACCGGTATCAGACAGCAAATAATGCACGGTAACTACTGAACTAGAATTCTTGTTTGTATTGCTGAATTGACTGATAGACTTCAATCAATTCGGATGCAACGGTGATGCACACAGACGCCAGCTACAAAATAATCAGTCAGTCAGTAACAGTTAGACTAAATGGCCCGTCTAACCTAGCTAGACTATGATCAGATGATAGAATGGTGTCTATGCACAAATGTACAGGTACCGACCTACCTATGAGTACTACCGTAGTAGTATACGGTATATTTACGGTACCTACGTTCTGACGTTTATGCCACAATTATTTTTAAAGACTTCATAGGAACTAGTGAACAAATAAACGACGCAGAATTTCGATAGGCACTTTATCCATACTTCCATGTACATATATAGACTATGGCGCAATTTCGTAACCTTTTTGCCAGATTGAATTCCAACCTGCTATGGTGCAATGATGTCCTCGCAACTACCTTATGACGCAACATCATTACATGTTTTGTTTGCTTTCTTCAGTCAATTAGCGGCATGGATTCCGCCACTTGAATTGGAAATTCCCCCACTTTTGAGTACTTTTTGAAGTCTCGTTGCAATCGTTCGAATGTTACCCGACCCTTGACAAGACAAAGCCTTATTTTTTCAGTGCTTCATCATTGCAAAATTTCTGATGATTATTGAATACGAAGTTTCCTTTTATGCATCGTTTCGCTGAAGCGTTGTATGTGTTGCGGGACTTTTCTAATATTGCCGAATCTATTTTTTCCAATGATTTTCAATTTTCAGTACTTGAAGATGGGAAAAGGCAGCTACTTTGTTTCCGATGCCTGGGCTAGAAATGGCTGGGGAAGCCGAAACCAACCTATGGAAACGTAAATCACCGTACGGCGTCGAGGAGCCAAGCAATCTTCTCTCACATAATTATCCCCCACGCGATTTCATTTATTGTTTTTTACTTTTATGGTATTATGAGATCAGAAATTTAATCCAAGATTTCGCTGTTTTATTATGATTCGTGAGAATTACTGGCTCATGCCCACTGCCACGCCTGAATCACTGTGTTACGAAGATTAACAAAAATTAGTTCGTGTTCGGGAAACGTGATGAACAAGATACAGTTAAACCATTACATATACCATTATGAAATGTAAGTTTTCACACTTTAAAGTCGTATATCGGCAAGTGATAAACTGACCCAACCAAAGCATACAGAATAATACTACATTTTGCGAGTATGATCACAGTGTCGCATTCGCCAGCGACTATCAAATTATTCCTGATTCTTGCATCATTCCTCATTCGCTGATACGGAAAATGGCCCAGCTGTGCTCTGGAGAGTGTTAAAGGTAAAAAGCATCGTGGTATTTGATTTAAGCTCATTTTTCAGACACTGTTCTGTGGTGTGTATTTATTTACGTAATAGCTTGTTGTTTTTGACACGGACTAGATTTGTGATTATGATGTCATAATTGTTTTCTCGTAATTCTCCTTGCTTCTACCTGTCTGCGTGCTTGTTATTCATTCTGGTGTTTGAAGTGTCTACTGTGTTATACTGACGTCTTACTTTGTCGTATAATAAACTGTAATTTTCTGTCTATTGGTGATACCCTAAACGTCACATTCTGGTTATAAAATTTTTATTTGTTTCGATGTGCGTATACATTTTTTCATAATTTTTGAATCAATTTTTACGATTTGAAAAATGCCAAACTTCACAAAAAGCGTTTTTAATAACGACAGGTAATAAACAGTTTGATACAACTACGTCCGTCCACACAGCGAAATAACAAAAAACTTTAATCCAATCAGTAGCTAAATAAAATGTATTAAAAAAGCCGGAAAATGCAATTTTGAATCCGGTTGAAATATTTTTATCAGGTAACAGATAAAATATATTAATTTTGTTATTCCCGGATATTTAGCGGAAGTATCTGCCAGGCTAGTTTTATTTCGTGGGTTCATATTATACATATACAGTATATATTATAAAATAGCATTAACAATAAAACTGAAATAAGCTTTTCCTAAATTTCACGAACTCGGCTCTAAATACTAGCGTCTATGACTATGCCAAGCGTCTGTGGCTATGCATAATTGCATATCATCCCATATTTACTTGGCGTAACTTTTTATATTTGATACTTTAGGCCGGGCATCTCGCTATGGCGCAATATACATACTTCATTATATTCCATGACGAAATGTCTACACGCGTTTCCGTAATTCCCATCACACCACTTACATAAAACAAAATTTTTGCATGCTAACTCATACGATAAAACTATAGTGCGCTATGTGGAGACGAAATAATAACTCGCTTGCAATTTGTATTCAAATGTGTCCAATGTGCCCATAAATATATATGACACTTTTCATTAAATCACTGTGTACACGAGTTATTACCTATCGATTAAATTTTTTATTACGATACAAATATTAGCATTATATTTTCACACAGACAATTCAAACTTAGTCTGTTGCATACCGATTAAATAAAATCTTTGGGTAGAAAAGGCATATGCTGTATTAATATAATAGGGGGTTCTCAAGCTGCAATGCTCAGACACCGAACTTAAATTGTAAGACAGACAGTCTGCAGCTTTGCACTATATATCGCGAATCTTCCAATCTCACAACATAATATATTGCTAATAAATGTATCGTGGTTTCATCACATTTGAACCCACGACAATTGCACCTATGGAAATTTGCACCTACGGATATTTGAACCCATACTAACCCTAACCCATGCCGCATATAGATTGAACCCGCGGATATACGGGTGCAAATGTATGGGTTCAAATGTGCTATCACCAGTGGTGGGATTCAAATGTGTTGTCAGCCGGTTCCATCATACAAATGTCGAATTTTCAGGCGGTTCTGTTACAAAAAGTCATGTAATGCTAACCTGTTTGCTGATCTCATAAAATTGCGTGAGACGGTTCCATAGAACCGGTGCGAACCGGCTGAATCCCACTACTGGCTATTTCCCCTTCAATCATGTACAGAAAAATTTACGCTCGTATTGATACCCCGTTCTATCTGCCTTGCCTGACAGTGTAATTTCCTATTGCCCAAATCGCTAACTATTCCAATTTCATGCGTAACCAGCTGCATTGGTTTCACGTGGTATTTCCTTTCCCCACTCGTGCCTGAGTAGCCTGTTACAGAACATACGCTACTGCATGACTGAGGAATAACCCCTTGCGGAATACTTAATATATGCGACAGAGACACAGAATTAGGAAAAGCAACGATGTCGAAATATCAATTTCCGTCATACACCATTGTTTCCATTCGTACGTTTTTTATACGTTAATATTGCGTTTACGCACAATGACATTGCATTTTCGACGAGGTTAGGCAAACCGGATTTCACCAACGTGAGAGCTGTCGCGAAAATATATAGGGTTGTTCGAAATTAGGCGGTTGCGGAGTATGCTCACAAATTTTGCTTCACGATGTGGATTTTGAACCAGGACACATATACGCGGAAGGAAATATAAGTTAGTTGCTAATCGACAACAAAGTTTATTACTAATCGCAAAACCCTCATTTATATATGTAAGTAATGTATCACAATATATTCGACAGCCGACACAGGATATAGAAACACATAATAAGAAATGGCAACGATGTCGCAATTGCAAATTTTTCCCACTCCGGCATTTCCTGACAACGGATATGCCATTATTCGTACGTTTCGTGTACGTTGATATTGCGTTTACGCACAATGACATTGCATTTCGACGAGATTAGGCAAGCCTGATTTCACCATCCAGAGGGCTGTTGCGAAAATAAGATAGGCTTGGTCGAAACCAGGCTGCTGTAGATAGTATGCTCACAAGTTTTGCATCACGATGTGGAATTTGTACCACGAACACAAAGACACATATACGCGGAGAGCTAATAAGTCATTCGCTTAAATCGACAATACAGTTTATTACTAATCGGGAATTGTTGTGCGTGAAACACTTATTTATATATATTTGTATTGTATCACAAATTGCAATTCAGTGCTAGATTTCGAATTCATCGAGTACCCAATATATGAGACAGAGACACAAGACATAACCACATAATTAAGAATAGCAAGTTTTAGCAACAATGTCATAATTGCAAATTTTCCCCACGCCGGTATTTTTATGACGAAGCATACGCTATTTCGGTATATTCGCACGTTTCGTATACGTTGATATTGCATTTCCGCACACTGATATTGCATTTTCAACGAGATTAGACAAGCGAGGTTTCACAAAAAAGAGAGCTGACGCATAATGAGCGAAGATTGTTCATTACCATGCGGATGTTGAGTTCGACCACAACTCACAAGTTTCGAAATTTCCTGTCCGGTGGCAAACATAGCAATCAATAATCTGGGATTATGAATAAAGAGCTTTCTGCCATTACATCGGATAATTGTTATGTGAAAAGTTTTCTGGACTACCTACTGTTCTTAGGGTTTCTTGTGCGACCACTTGGTCGCAACAACTTTATTCTGAAAGCAGTACCAGTATATATCGCCAATCAGGGAACCCGGTTCTAGCACTTTGTTCGATACTTGGTTCTTTGATTAATAATAATTGAGGGAATTGACTGATCTTCTTTGATTCTGCCATACCTATTCAACCTACAATAAAGCCTAATCATAACATCCTGATTTACAAGTTGAGACATTTCGGTATCAGGGGTACAGCAAACAAACTCATTTCTAGTTATTTAAGTAATAGATCACAATATGTTCAAGTTGGGTCGTGTCGTTCCTCTCCCTTACCAGTGACTCACGGAGTTCCTCAAGGTAGTTGCTTGGGTCCTCTTCTATTTCTAGTCTATGTAAATGACATAACTTGTTGTTCCTCCTTCTTTACCAAATTGTTTGCTGATGATACCAATCTTCTCGACAGCGACAAATCTTGTGCAGTTCTTCAGTTGAGAGTAAATTCTGAAATTGCGAAAGTATCAAATTGGATGCGGTCTAATAAACTAACACTGAACATTGGCAAATCAAAAACTATGTTAATATCTCCACACCAGTGCAAATCTAAAAATGAAACAGTAATACAAATTGATGACAAAGAACTTGAAAATGTCCATTCTTATAAATATCTTGGCATATATTTAGATAGTAAAATGAATTGGGATGTTCACTTATCCAAATTATCCGTTAAATTATCTAAATCGGTTGGAATACTTTACAAGCTTAGACGATTTACATCACCAACAACACTAAGGATGGTGTACTACTCCTTATTCCAGAGCCATATCCAATACGGCATAATTGCTTGGGGTTCAGCTGTTAAAACATTATTACTTCGCATTGAAATTATGCAGAACCGAGCAATCCGTGCAATATCTGCCGCTAGTTATTTTTCACGACTCAGTCCTATTTATTATAACCTTCAAATTATTAAATTGGCAGACATTTACAAAATAGAAGTTTTGAAATTGATGCACCAACACCACTGCAAAAAACTCCCTCCTGCGTTCACAAACTATTTTTCAAAACAAAGCAATGTTCACTCATATGGAACACGGTCCTCTATTAGCAGTTCTTATTATGTAAATCGTTTTAGCACCAAACTCACCCAAAACTCAATCAAGTTTGTTGGTGTTAAATTGTGGAATAATCTCCCCAATAGCATTAGGACCAGTACCTATAACTTGTATAAACATGCACTGAAGAGCCTATACCTAGATGCTTATAAGCCCAGTTGCAATTAGTCTAGAAATATTATATTTGTATACCGGTATGTACCGTACCTATCCCTGTGGTGCTGCTTTTCCCATCCATGTTCGTCAAGTTGTGTGCTCGCTGTGTACTGTTCTTGTTTTAATATTTTCCGCCCAACCTATATGCCACGAATACTGCAGAACCCATAATTATTCTGCACTACTCTAATAGCCACTAACAATCGCTTTCAACATAAAAATCCGTTAAATACGGTATTGATTCTCGCAGCCAGAAGCCCGTTGCTGGGCACGCCATATTGGTTTACTGTGTATGCTTAGTCAGCATTATTTCGCAATTCTTTGTTGTCATTGAGGCATATCCTTCTTACAGATGTCGCTGTTAAGTCATATAATACGATGTGATCATTGTAGTTTTTCGGTGTTTATTTCGATTTTATTTTGTTCTTACTCTGTATGATCGAGTTTAATTAGGTAAATATCTAATACTCCATAGTTATTATGACATCCTGTATTTTATTTTTCAAACTTTGTTGTTCCTTTTTGTGATTGAGGCTAATTAAGTGAATGTTTAGGTAACTTTTCGTGGTCATTGTGGCATTCTTTTTGTTGTCCCTTTTATATATATGATTGTGTCGAATTTAGTGACTATTTAATATTGAGTTGTTCGGTTGCTATATTTGCTGCTTCAATGCAGCTACAAGGTGTCGCTGACTGGATGACTCTTTGAGTCTTTCGCGATCCCTCGTCTATTGCAACAAGCCGATATCTGTCTTCGTAATTTGTTATATGTCTTTTTTTATTTTTTCATATCGTATATTGGTTTTGCATGACGAAAATAAAATCTGAATCTGAATCTGAATCTAACAAAGAGGAGCGAACAATATGGGCCTGACTCTTTATTTTTTGCTATAAGCATGCAATACAACGTATGAACTAGTAAAAATATAAAAGAAATATGATAACAAGGCGACGAGGCCTATTCTACGATGGAAAATTATAATCGACGTTTGTCAATATCATCTTGTTGTTGTTGTCATCAAATACTGCAGCAACACTGTCATGATAGGTAACAGTAGACCATATCTGTACAATAAAATTAACTTCATCAAATTAGGTTAAATTGGTAATATATGTTTCTACAAAAATAGCTGAGCATAACAGATTTGCAAATGAAGATTATAGTATACCAAGAACATTTTCTTGCCATAATTTTTTCGAGGGTATGCGTACCAAGATGGCGTAATTTAGGTACAAATACTACGGGAGAAACTCGTAATAGAACCAAAAACTGGAATAAAATTATGGCCTAAGCAAGTACTCATTCTATACGTTTCGATGTCTGCCATCTTTGTACGCATACTTCACGAGTACCGTTTCGAGAGTGATAGAAAAAGTGAAATTGAAATGCCCAGCGATCGCCCGATTGCGTATCCCAAAAGCTGGATTGTGCCGATGTTAAAATATACCCTCTCTGAAGTCGAGTTAAATAACTTATTCTTCTTTATTGAAGTCTTTGATTATTGGTCTAGTAGAAAAACTAATAGTCTTGACACATGGCTCACGGACAAAATCAACCTATCAATAATCAAACCTATATATATATATATATATAATTACCAACCAAACGAGTTGAAAAACAGTTTGAAAACCCTTAAAGTTATATAAAATTCTAAAGTTTTTAAAGCTTTGCAAGAAGTAGGTAAATGTGAAATCACTATCCTGAAATTTGACTTCATGAAACAAATATAACGTCATAGGACCGTTGCGAAAGATTATTATTTCATAGAGTGTGTTAATGCCACACGTGTTGTAATTTTAAGTATTGCCCAATATAGTAGGAATTTTTTCTCAGTGAATGGAAAACACAATTGTCCGGATATATATGTTGCAAGTCTAATCTTGTCGAGCCCTCACATGGTTTGCTTCCGCCCTTTTAAAGCAGCATATCATTCTCTCGTTCTGCGGGTTTATAACATTGGAAACATTCAAAGGCTGTAAGCCTGTAACCTTGTATTGTATTAGGTAATATAAAGTAATACAAAGTGATGGATTTGGGATTTAGCTCAGCCTCAACCGAAATGAAGACAGCCATTTAAATTTGGCAAACAGCGTTTCGGCAAGCTTTGGTATTTTTTTAATATTCATGATTCTAATAATGTTTGCCTTATATTGGTATAATATTAAATTGTGATTGGCTGTACTCGTTATTATTACTTAAATAAAATATAACAAAAGATAGTACTTTACATATGAGCTCTATCATTCAATTTGACATTTTAAAAGTGCTATAACGCATTCATATTGCCTATTTTCCCCACAATCTCTAGTCTATTTGATATTTCAATTGATATTTAGTAAACTGTCGTAATTCGCCGTGTCAAATTGCATGTGAATCAAGAGCTGCAAGTCATTTTCGCTGCCCCTACTGTGAAATATTATTGAGATATACATCAAAGTCAATTTTACAACATTACGTGAAAATTGGGTTTTCCTGAAGTATGCGTACCAAGATGCGGACACCGGAACGTAGTATGTGTACCAGGTTAGGTCATAATTTCCGGTACAAATACTACGTGAGAGTCACTTGGCTAGTCCCCGAACTCGTGATAGAACTAAAACAAGGAAAAATTGGAATAAAATTATGGCTTAACCCTAACTTGGTACACATAATACGTTCCGGTGTCGGCCATCTTGGTACGCTACTTCAGGAGTACCGAAAATGGTGGCATTGGCACTGGTTCGCACCGGTTCTATAGAACCGTCTCACGGAATTTATTGAGATCAGCGAACCGGTTAGCATTACTAAAAAAAACATGTAACAGACCGGCCGAAAAATATGACTTTTGTGATGGAACCGGCTGACAAAAAATTTGAATACCGGCACTGGATGATATGTGTATCACGCCAAATGCAGTACCTGGATACACTGGAAAGATGTTACTCGTGTATAGTAACACAGGTATAACATATAGGTTTTCCCATTCATCAAAGTAAAACGCTCTCACCTGTAAGTTAGTTAAACGCTTGCGCTCTATTACTTTTTTGGAATCCTAAATATGGGGATGTAATATCATTCTAACTCCATATATTACCTATGAACTTTAAGAAACGATGCCGAGTTCCCTTCATTATTTTGTGGAAGGCAAGGTTTTTGATTTCCGTCATCGCCAAGTCGCTGGGCTGCTGGCGTATTTCCTATGGAGGACGTCTCCTCATTTATCTCAGATGTTTCATGATTTTGAATTTCATTCCTACAGTTCGCAAGTTCGCTTTCAAGGTCGGAAATGCGATTTTGCTGTGAAAAACGATACAATAAAATCAAGGAAACAGTATTGGCATCGTTGTAAATGCGATTTAGCACAATTGTCATGAAGCTTAAAATATTTCTGTATTGTCGATTTGCCTAACGTGAAATCTTTGTAAATACCAAAAGTTTCGATTATAACAAATTTTAACGCATATTTAATGTCACCTTCATACAAGGGCTACAATTTTTGTGTGTGCCCAATCTTTTTAATCTTAATGCTTTAATCTAGCTAGACTTTTCAACGGCACACAATCTTTAAAAATGTAATTCAAACCAAAATGTTCAATTTTAATAAAACGGTATAGGGGACATATGAGGGGCCCCGGGCAAAATCATTTGTAAAATTCTTACCAAAAGTGACGTCATAAAGCTGTCCTCAAATTCACAAATATATTTACAGAATTTGCGTAAGATACGATATTTAGTTACAGACAAGATAATTGTGCTAACCTCGCAAGTATATTGGATAATAACTTGAATTTAATAACATTTTAAGAAGCCCAAGGTGGTAATATAACGTCATGACAACAGGAAAAGTGACGTCAAGTTTTAAAGTTTTTCAAATTCAGACAATTCAGTTTAAAGGGAATGTTTGTAACAAGAATAAATAATCATATTAAAAATGAAACAAATTTCAACTTTAAATTTTTTAAACCGGTCAAACTGAGAAACACGCGTTGAAAATTTAAAACGGATTAAAACTAAATGATATGGTAATTTTGAAAGCTGATGCCTAGGAATTGCACATTAGTAAATTTGTTCTTGTGGCATACTTGGCGTTTTCCTCCCCTTGAAACATTATCTGATCACTTTTTTTGTCTCAACAAAATTGTTATGTGTTTTGTAACTGCCTTTATGGGAAATAAAATTACCTACCAACTGCTGGATTACGTCATCATCGCTATCAGTCGAAGAAGAATGCTCTATTGGTTTTACTTGCTGTTGCTGAGAATGTTCTTGTTCCAGTACATATAATGAATGTTTAACGCTCAAATACCGGACCTAGAAATAAATTTTCAAACTGGGTAACCTTTTGTGCAAACAGAAGTCTAACCGAAGTTCAAATAAAAAATAGCCATAAATTTGGTAGACTTCCTAGTTATTATTCACCCATCAATCCAAATAATATCAGCTGAGAATTGGTTTATGAAACTATGGATGAAATGAGATACATCCAGATTCACGGAGTCAAAATTTTTTATTCCACCGAAACATAATATCATCGACATCGAATTTTTTTATCGGGATTCTTTAAAAAGCGGTTAATTGATCAAAACACATAAAGCGATTCTCAGTCTGTATTTATATGCTTCAATGCCGCTGAAGATATTTTTCCGCTCAACGAATCCATACACTTCCTGCCAAGCGTGAAGTACTGAGTGTGTTTAATGTAACTCATTACGCGAAATAGAAATCTCAATAATATCCTGCTATCGACTCGACACTAATTATCATATTAGATATTTTCTTTGATTCTATTTATTTTTGTCCAAGTTAACCTTGATTTTCATATATCAAGGATGTTCAATACTTAGTCATTACATTTCGTTGGTGCGATAATGAGTGTTTATTATCGAGATATAAATATCAAAAAAATACCCCGAAAATGATGCTAGTGGCGAGCAGTGTTAAACACAGAAAAACCAGAAGACTCGTACAGCATTCTAACATACGTCTCTGGTTTGTTGTTCTTCTGTGACTGAAGAGCTGAAATAATAATGCAGGATGAATCATAACTAAAATATTTTTCAAACCACCATCTACTACTTTTATATCAACAAACCATGTAGTCGTGGCAAATATACGTGAGTGCTGAAAACCCCAAAAATCCACAAAGTGAAAATGAATCAACGGCGCATATAACTCACTAGAAATAAGAAAGGAAAGAGATAAATTACGTGATATACCTCAACATCGTCGTCGTCATCATGAAAATTTAAAGTTCCTATCTTCGATTTTCCATGAAGTAAAAGTTCTTCCCGCTCCATGATATCCTATGTCATAAGACGCTTATCTTGTATTCTAACAGTATACACAACACGCTATCTATACTATATTCTACAAACACCAAATTAATAAACTTTAATCACCAGTTTACCAAACCGCTCTATTCAAAATCAGTGTACTAACAATACAAAGGCAATCATATAATACGTTTTCATACTTATACTACTACCTTCTCGTGTTATATCTCGACGCGTACACTTTTCCATATGTTTACTCAGATATTATTGTGAGACATCCACACGTACAATGGAGTTTAGTGACGTATTCAGTCTTTACGAAAAGCCTACTTTAGATATAAGGTTTATTCAAGAAGTCTGAATCGTCGTAAGCGTAAGCGAGTTGAATTGAAGCAATAACGACCGTTTACTTTAGAACGATTTATAACATTTAATAGTAAAATACAGTTTTGCATTGATTGTCCCTGACAATTGCCATCAATAATATCTCCAATTAATTTTAAAAAGATGAAACATTAATATTAGATTAATGACCTTTAAAATAAGGTGATAAACACTCATGAATGTTATTGCTTTGTTTTATCCATGTGGCCTACAACCTTCGTGATAATTGTTCGAACGTTGTATGATTTGAATGCCAATCTACATCTCTGAAGAATGAAGCATGCTAAAAATTTCTGCATATAAATTTTTCGATATTTGAAAACGGTTTTGATAATGATTCACAAATTCTATATATTTATTCCTCCTTATTTAGAGATAAGTCTATTCTGAACAGATAGCGTTCCAGTAGTGACTTTTTACGACCTGCACCTAACTGATAAACTTCTAGATATTTCGAATTCCGAAAACCAATATCTTCAGTCGACGCACTTCTAGGAATTAATTGTCCCAAGCTTGTGCTTCGTCGTGCTACGCTGATTTAAGAGTAAGTAGAGAGATACACGCATCACTAAGTGTCTAAATTTTAGATCAGACGGATGGTGAGAGACACCATTGCGTTGATAAAAACTTGTTTCGGACGCTTCCTGAATAGCGCTTCCTACGTTGTCATGGTTTTATCTTTTACGTTGGCATATCCGGAAAACTTAAGTAGTGAATCTTCCCGATTCTTGGTTCACGGCATAGTTTAATTTCATTTCACCCTAACCCTTTTACGATCGCTGAATTAATGAATTAAAGTATTTGAGCAACTGTCAAAACATAAATAAAGATTATAATTACTATACAGAAAAATGATGTAATGAAGTATATATCTACGTCTCTCTCGTAAGGAATAAATTGGCACAGTGGGATGTGATGGATAAGTGGTAGCGAGGTTGGGAGAGGGTTGCAGTGAGGCAGATGTAGACGCAGAAGTGTTGACACACCGAGTGTAACACCTGTCGTTATTTTGAGTGAGAAGCGCCAATGTAATGTCATAGAAGTTGTCAGTTTCGGATGATACGGCGACCAATGACTTTACACTGTTTGTTTGTCAAGGACTGGACGATGTTTCCAATTTTATCCCAACGTTTCTTGTTGTTGCGATTATTCATGGCCATTACTGTTGTTCCTAGTGGAAGGTTGTGGCAGTTCTCTTGCACATTGGTTTTATCGGCCCAGCAAGTCGTTTCAATTATGCGACACAACCTCGAATATTTTTTGCATGTTGCTTCGCTTTTCTTTTTAACTACTGGTTCAATTGCTCTATAATTTTCTTTGGTATAAGATTGCTGTAGTCGCTAGAACGCTATTGGCCTACTCTTATTTAGTTCAAAAGTTTGCACCCCCGAACAATTGCACCAGCTTACTTTTGCATCCATAGACCTACAGACATCTACACCAAAGTATATATATATTCCCCCTTTGGACATTTTTGTTTAACTCTGGATCTTACAAAGACATTGCATACACAGGTCCGAAAACACAAACATACCTACATGACTCAGTGGCGGCGCGTCAATAGGGCCAACCGGGGCAATGCCCCGGTTGTTTTTTCGGTATAATAAAAAAGATTCGAAAAATACCTCAATATCGGTTGCACAGACTGTCTACACTAGCCATATTCTCCCGACATGGTTCATTTTTCGCTCGCAAAGCCTTCGCCGAACGTCGACAGGGCGACGCCGATTTTGCCCCGGTTGCTCATTGTATATCGTATTCTCTCTTTTATCTTCCACTCGTCGCGTCTGTCTCGTTTGTTTTCTGTTTCTTTTACTAAATCATCGGGGCTAGCCCCGAAATTATGACGACACAATGCTGACGTTTCTTACAACAACGTGTTGACATATTCACGCATTCCTTCTCGTTCGTTGGTTGCTTGAAGAGTTGATAGTTTCATCGCCTTCGTTTTTGTCGCTTGTTTCGCTATTTGAATCAGTTAGAGACCTTTAGTCCATTTGCTTTCGATTTTCCACATTCCTTTTGAGCTCCTCACTTCTTTCCGGGTTCGCATTTCTTAGCCTTAGACCTCATAAGGAATAAGGTTGATGCACTACTTCGCACTCCGTTTTCGCAGCTCCCGCTGGAACAAAAATTAGAGGTACAACGTCTTGGGCCTTATCAACCAAAAAATTGTTCACTGGAACAATCCCATGACGGAGGAAAGCGTCGGCGTACATTCTGCGCAGAAACTTGGTATAAAAAACACGAATGGTTGTGTTACAGCGAGGACAAAAATGCACTTTTTTGTTTTTATTGCCTACTTTTTGCTACCGCCCGTGACTCACGTTGGTGTACATTTGGTTTTAGAGATCTTAAACATCTTTCCGAGCGTGCCAGGGATCATCAATCTTCTATGGAGCATCTGGACAATGCAGTAAAATACCGAACATTCGGAAATGTTAATATTACAGCACAGTTGGATGAAGGACGCGCGGTTTCTTTTCGTCGGCACAACCAAAACGTCGAGAAAAACCGCCATGTTCTCGGTCGATTGATAGATGTTTTGAAGTTCATTGGTTGTCACGAGCTGTCCTTCCGTGGGCACAATGAACGGGCTGGCTCTTCTAATAGAGAGGTATTTTTGGATATGGTGGAATACACCGCATCCCTAGATACAGTATTGAGAGATCATCTTGGTGCCGAAACTGTTTTGAAAGGGACATCTAAGGATATCCAAAATGATTTGCTCGACTCAATGTATAAAATTTATTTACAACATTTGGCTCTGGAAATTGAGATTTGCCAGTTCCTCTCGATTCAGTCTGACGAGACAACTGACATCACGTGCGTTTCCCAACTGGCTGTGATTTTTCGGTTTGTGAAAGATGATACACCTACCGAGAGATTTCACAGCTTTGTACCAATCGTTGATCGCACGGCTTGCGGAATATCGGCTGTACTGAAAGAAGTGTTACAGCCTTACAACGCGAAGTCAAAATTGATAGCTCAAACTTATGACGGCGCGGCAGTCATGAGTGGGTCGAAACATGGTGTTCAAGTTTATATAAAAGAAGATTTTCCTCATGCGCATTTTTTATATTGTTATGCACAACAATTTAACCTCGTTATTAAAAATATGTGTCTTGATACCCCTCTCGTCCGTATATTTTTTGCAAATGTTTCGGGGTTTTCTTCATTTTTTTTCCGTTTCGCCGAAGGGCTGTGACCTCCTTCGCCAGATATGTAGCCGCCGTCTCCCAGCTTGTGCACCAACACGTTGGAACTTCCAATCACGCGTGGTGCAGGGCGTGTCCGAAATTAGGTCTGAGCTCATTGAGTGTTTCAATGGCATTCAGAGCTCTCCGGTTTGGGACGAACGCTCTGTGAGGGAGGCGGCAGGTCTAAAGCGTCTGCTAGAAGATGGTGAGTTTTCATTTTTTCTCGCTTTTTTCTCCACAATATTCTATCACGTGGATGTATTATACGGCGCATTGCAGTCAGGGCTAATGGATGGAGCGTCTGTGCAGTCGTGTATTTCAGACTACTGCGATGCTGTATCTCGTATCCGGGAAACAATAAAATACGACGACACATGGAGTGCTTCTTTACGCCGCGGGCAAACAACGCAGCGTTTGATTTTGTCTGCAAAGGAATGCTGTGACATTCTGGTGAATCAAATAGGCGATCGTCTGCGCACTGAACACCTTGCCGCGTTCTCTTTGATGAACCCCAAATATTTTTCAAAATTTGCACGTCAATTTTCCATCCATTTGTTGGCTACTGTCTCCAAATTTTACCCCATGATAAACGTGGGTAAATTGGAAAATGAATTGCGATGTATATACACCAATCAAACTTTTTTGAACATCACATCAACTTGCGCGCTCTATGGGTTCCTCATAGATAACACTCTAGTAACTACCTTTGCGGCGTCTGCAAAATTTCTGGACATCATTTTGACGACGCCTATTTCTTCCGCCGACGCAGAGCGAACATTCAGCACGCTGAAGCGTATTAAAACGTATCTCAGAAACACAATGAAGCAAGATAGAATAAATTCCTTGGCTGTTTTATCCATTCACAGAGACGTTATTTCTGGGATGCATGACTTTAAGCAGCGCGTTATTGAGCATTTTGCTTCCAAGAAACCGCGGCGTGTTGCATATATGTTCAAGCAGTAGAAGTCTAGCAGCATATATATCTATGAGTGAGCGACGCATGTCCTTATCTTTGCATTAACTTTCCTTTCTCCATAGTAACGTTTTAAACCTTATTTTAGGTTTTGTCTGCTTTCCCGAAGTTTCTGTTAATATGTCATGGTATTTATCTGGGTAAATATTGACTTTCCCTTTGAATGTCTATATTTATTACTCCCTTGACTTGGACCGGTTTTAAAGACACTTTCTTATCGTTAAAAATTGTCGCTTTTGCCGATTGGTTGTTACCGATGGAATGGTTTTTATACTCATAAAATGATGGGAGAACTTACAGCGCTCATCCTGTCCCCGTAGATGGGGGTGACTTGGTCCCGCAGTAGCTTGCCCCGGTTGTCAAAACGACCACGCGCCGCCACTGCTACATGTATTGATTTCTTAAACATGCTACAATACAAAGGGAGCAGTTTAAATAGCATTTCCCCGTAACTTCAATACAGTTAAAAAGCGTCAGTCGTTGAACGTTCAAACAGCATTTCACCGTAACATCAATACTGTCAAAAGGCGTCAGTCGTTTAACGTCTAAATAGTATTTCACCGTAACTACGATACTGTTAATATCCGAATTTGCTAAAGGTAT